CGCGCGAAGCCTCACGCGGGGGGGGGACAACGGAGAGAGGGGGGGACGAAATGGGGGAGCGACCGGGGGGGGGGAAACAGGTCCACACACACACACACACACACACTCACTCACTCACTCACAGACACAGACAGCACGCCCGCCCGCCCGCGCGCGCGCGCCCGCCCGCCCGCCCGCCCGCCCGCCCGCCCGCGCGCCCGCCCGCCCGACCGCCCCGCCCGCCCGCCCGCCAGCCCGCCCGCCCGCCCGCCCCGCCCGCCCGCCCCCGCCGCCCGCCCGCCCGCACGCATGCATGCGCGCACACGCTCACACACATACACACGCACAGACGCACACACGCACACGCACACGCACACACACACCACACACACACACACACGCACACACGCACACATCCACACGAACACACGCGCACACGCGCACACGCGCACACGCGCACACGCGCACACGCACACACGCACACGGGCACTCGCGCACACGCGAACACGCGCACACGCGCACACGCTCATACATTCACCTCGCACACCTGTACACACGCACACCCGTACACACGCACACACACATACACACACACACGCACACACACACACACACACACACACACACGCGCGCACGCACACTCACACGCACACGCACTCGCACTGGCACGCGCACACGCACACGCACACGCAAACACACACACACACACACACGCTCATGTACACGCACACGCACACACACACAAGCACACACGCACACAAGCACACAAGCACATAAGCACATAAGCACACAAACTCACAAACACACATACACACAAACACACAAGCACGCAAACACAAACACACAAACACACACAAACACACAAACACGTTTTGCGTCGGCGGCTGGGCAAAGGGCGACTGCTCCGGCGGAAAGGGCACAGACATACACACAGACACAGACACGGACACGGACACAGACACAGACACAGACACAGACACAGACACACTTACACTTACACTTACACTTACACCTATACACACACACACACTTACGCTTACACTTACACACACACACACACGCGTTTGCACACACACACACACTCACTCACACACACACACACGAACTTACATACACACACCCCTCCCCCTTCCCCCCCACACACAAACTTTCACTTTCACTTTCACTTACCCGTTCACTTACATTTGCACTTACACGCACACACACACACACACTTGTACACACTTGTACACTCACATTTTCGCGTTGCGGCCACGTGCGCGGCAGCGCGGCGGAAGCAGTCGAGCGGGAGGACGCGCGCAGCGGGGCCAGATCACGCGGCGTGGGGACCAGGGCTCCGCCCCCGCGGTGGGCCGCGAGAGGGATGGGGAGAGGACGCACTCACACGCACCCCTATGGTCCTTACCACCCTCTTCGCCCCGCTGTCCTCGCCCCGCGCAGGACCCCGATCCTGCGCCCCCCTCTCGCGGGCACGCGCTGCCATGCTGGGACCCCCTGGGCCTGGAAGAGCACCCGCATAACCACGAGGCCCATTGCCGCCCGATCGGGCGACGGAGCGCGCCGACTCCGCACGGCAACGGGACCCGGCGCTGACGCACGCACCCCAGTGCATGTTTGCGCTTCCTCGGCCATAGCCCTCACCCCCCCCTTGGCCCCCCCCCGTCGCCCCCCCCCTGCCCAGACTTCGGATCTGCCGTAGTTTTGGCGGGTTCCTATGTTGGAAATGGGGCGGACATGCCCGCCCTACGTTTCAAGCTCACGTGATGCCGATTTCCTCCCTGCTCTGCCGTTGCTATTTCCGCCATGCCTTCGCGGAAGCATCCGCCCCACTCCTCTGACAGCTCTGAAGCGGAAGGTCCCCCCCTGCTTCTTCGCACCGTCTAGACCGTCTGGGTTGCATTTCCGGAAGAATGATGAATCGGAACATCAGCCAAAACACAAAGACGGCGGCCCACGGGGTCATAACAGTGACTTGCTGTGAGCGACATCAGCCGTGGTCAATAACTGGCGGTGTGGTGTTAGATTGGTTTCCATGTTGGCTGGCTATGAAGGCCCTTCTAGGGCCACCGCCACAGCGGGGGATTCTGACACCAGGAGGGGGTCGCAGGAACCACGCCTCAGGCAGTAGGCGCTGTGTTGCTATCTCCCACCCCCAGGGCTCGGGATCCCCCTTCCCCCAGGGGGAAGCACCTCTCCCTGGGAGACGTTTTCGGCTCGGGAGCGTCAGTGTCGTCGTCGCTTTCGTCTGGACCGTCTGGGCTGCATTTTGGGCACAGTGCTGAATTGGAATGTCATCCCAAATGCAGGTACCGCGGCCCCCGGGGCTTGGGATCTCCCGCCGGGGGGGGGGGGAGCACCCTTCCCTGGGAGGAACCTTCGGCTCCAGAGCGTCAGCGTCGTGATTTGCCGCTTCCCTGGGAGGAACCTTCGGCTCCGGAGCATCAGCGTCGTGATTTGCCGTCGTCGGGTTTGGTCGGGCACGTCTCCCCCTGCAGGCGGATTTCGGACGAGAAACCAAACGTAACCCACAGAACCATTCGAACCTTGTCCCAAAATAGTCGCAACGCCGTCCCCAGACTATTTTTTAAACTCTTTCTGAGTATCCCTCCTGTAGAGGGGCAGGCCCGACTGATCGCCAGGGGGGACAAGGGTTATGTCGGGCCTGTCCCCCTACAGGGGGATTTTCGACGAAAAATAACATATACTCCAAAAATGCCCCCAAAGGGCCAAACAAAAATGAAACAAATATTCCCCTGACTATCTTTGGACTATTTTGGGGTATTTTCAGTTTTCGTCGAAAATCCCCCTGTAAGGGCACAGGCCCGACTTAAGACAAAGGGCGCTCCGCTCGGGGGCCCACGAGCGGCGCGCGCGCCCGGCCACGCGCCCGAGCACGCACTCTGGAGCTCCACGGGTGGTGCGGCGACGGGCCGCGCGGCGGCTTCGGCAACCCCCCGCGCGTCCGCCTCGCTCGTTTTTGCTCGCTCTCCGCCCTGCCTCCGCCCTCCCGGCCCTGCGTCGACCGCACCCCAAAGCTCGGGAGGGTCCTGATCGTGCGTTTGGTCTGCAGAGCCCTGCCCCCCTGCCTCCGCCCTCCCGGTCCTGCGTCCTGCATCTACTACACCCCAAAAACTCGGGAGGGTCCTGATCGCGCGTTCGGTCTGCAGAGCTCCCTCCCTGGGGCACGTGGCGCTTGCACGCTGATCGCTGCCCCGGGCGTTGGCATCTGCCTGGGGCGGGGAGGGTGTGGCATACCAGAGATTCTCGAGGAAACCTCACCGCGGCGTCCGTCGCCGACTCCATCGTCGGTCTCCCCTTCGGGTCGGCGGGGGGGGGGGGCGGGGCGGGGCGGCGGCGGGTGCCGGGCGGCAGCCCTTCGCAGACTGCGCGGGGGTCGGCGCGCCGCCCATCCCCGCGCCAGGGGCGCGCGGCGGGCACCAGCGGCGGCGCGCGGGCGGAGGGGGGGGGGAGAAGGGAGGGAGGGGGGGGGGAGGCGAGGGGGGGGGGGGGCCCCCCAGGTGGCGGGGGGGGGGCGCGCAACAGCGGGGGCGAGAGAGACGGGGCGCGAGGGAGACTGCGGGGGGGCCTTGGGGCAGAAAACCCGTTCGAGGCGCACGGGAGGGCGAGGGAGAAGCAGGAGGATCGTCCAGGACGTCAGCCCTCGCATCGTGGCAGGAAAGGGAAGGTCGGGGGAGCGGGGGCAGGGCGGAGGGCGGAGGGCATGTAGGGGGGCGGGGGGGCAGGGGGGGAGGGATGGGGCACATGGCAGGGAGGGAAGAAGAGGATGCCGAGGAGGAAGGGGGGGAAGAGAGAGGAAAGGGGGGGGGAAGGGAGAGGGCGACCGCGGGCGAGGAGTGCGGGCGGCCGTTGCACGAGAGAGACATGCCCCGTCCCAGCAGCGCGCGCCACGCTGAAAACGCCACGACGCCAACGCCGGAAGCGAGGCGCGTTCAGGATCCGCACCGCGGCAGGGACCTGCGACATGGCCATCCCCATCCCTGCGAGGCTTGGTGCGCAACACATCATCAACCGGCGCTGCGGCCTCCCAACGGGCAGGGGCCCCACAAAAAAAAAAACGGAGGAGGAGGAAAAAGAGGAGGAGGACGAAGAGGAGGAGGAGGAGGAACGCACGCGGCAGGGGGACGACGACGACGACGTTCACTCAATCAACCAGCCCTGCCCACGGGCCCCCGCGCCGCCGAAGCTGCTTCAGCCTCGCGGCGACGAGCCGACCCAGCCGCTGGCCCTCCCTGTGGGGCGAAGTCCGAATCGCAAAGCGAAGGTCGTGAAACCCCTGAAACGCAAGATCAATGAACAAGGCATCGGAGGCTAATTCAAGAGCTCTAGTGGGCCAGTGAGAAACCAGACGCCCTTTAACCGCCAGAATGAGAGGAAAAATGAAAAGAGTCCATCATAGCATGATTGATGCTGGAAAACATACGGCTGAATTCAAGATAGTGTGTGAACCGATCGGACCCAGGGGCGCCGCAGAAAATGCAGGGCACCGCTGGCCCTCGAAAGCGGGCAGAGCAGCACCAGGCGTTAGAGACAAGGACGGAGAAAGGGCAAAAATTGTTTCAAGGCGCCTCAGAATCATCAGAACACGATCATGATTGGGTGCGCTGTCAGAACAAGAGAGCTTCTTAATACGATACAGCATGGGTGCTCGATATCCCAAGCAAGGAAACCTGTTGACGGAGCCACTGTTCGGAAACACTCTGACCACGAGGAGCATCAATGGAGGATTACACCCACAGCGGGTCCTGTCGCCAGCGCATCTGGCACTCGCCACTTTCGGCCATGGCTTGGATCGTGGCTTAGGCCCGAAAGAATTTGACCGAGCTGCACGCATGGCGGCGCAAGGTGGTACAGGACACCAGCTCGCGGCGGCGCATCTGGCACTGAATCCCGAGCCCGCTTAAGTTCCCGAGCACGGTGGGGCTGGGCGAATTCCAGGGCCCGCCCACTAGCGCTTGTCCAGCGGCAGAGACGCAATGAAAAACAGACTTGGGCGGGGCGTAAAACTGCATGATGTAGGAGAGACAGCCGAAAGCATTCTGGTTAAACGTAGCAATATTTTTGGCCACACCTAGCCCCGAGGCCTTGATCTCTTGGGCCCTCTCGAGGCACGTGCGGGCTGGAGCCTCCCAATACATGCGATCCCCACCGTGTCCCCCCCCAACAACAAAAAACGCCAAATACGCAGCGAACTTCAGTGGGGGCGTCATCTGGCAGGCCAGCCTGGTTGGCGACGGCGCGCAGCTCTTGCTCCGAAAACCCGACCAACGGGATGATCGCACCCCTACTTCGGTCGAGTTCGAGACCAGCCGCTCCCGCGGCACTCTCGAAGACTGGCATCAGAGAAGACAGAGCGGCGACAACGTCCTGGGCGACCATGCCTAAGTCGTCGGCGCAGGGGCAGAAAGCAGAAAGCGCCTTGATAAGCTTGGATTCTAGCAAGCGGAGGACCGGGCCGATGCAGAGCAGAAAAAGACGACGAAAGTGGACAGCCTTGTGAAATTCCCCGCCGAGCCCACCACCCTTCCCCTTGCGGCCCGCAAAAGGACACAAACGGCTCAACATTCCGATAGAGAGCAGCCACTGCCTTGCGAAGTTTGCGAGGGAATTGTATTTCACGAAGGGCGAGAATGATCGTGGTGTGGAGGAAAGTCGGGGACTCCGCCTTAATGTCAAACGCGACAACGCCCGCGTGCCTCAAACCGTCCTCGGTGAACCATGCCAAGGCCCTGGATTTCAAAGCAATAACATCGTTGGTGAATTTGTTCCTGGGAATGAATCCCTGCTGGATATCCGAGCAGATCGCCTGGGTGGCGCGGGAGACTGGCACATTGACTGCGCGGCTGAAAAGCTCATCCTCGGAGTTGCCATGCGAATCGGCCGCGTTTGTGAGGGAACTCGAAATACAGACTCAACAGTATCGGCTTGGCGTTCACCTTCGGGCAAAGAGACGGCCGCTCAGCGGTTGAACTTATCGGGGGGCCGACCTCGGTCAAACAGGTCGTGGCAAACAGAGAACAAGACTTCCAAAGTGCCATTGCCGCCTCGATGCCAGGCTGATCACGGGGCCCCATCTGGGCCAGGGGGCGAGTCTCTAGCAGCACGCAGGAGCACAACATGCTTCATGCCGCAATTCCCCAAAACATGACATGGGGGGACTGGCCGCAGAAAGGGCCGTAGCTCAGAGCGGCGAACAGACTGGCCCTCCGCGAGGGCATGAACGCGCCCCCACTGCCGGGCAAGCAACCGAACGGCAATGCGAATATCTGCAACCTGCTGGCCAGACGGGTCGGGCACACCAAACGTCGTAATCCTCGTCCTCCTCGTTCCCTAGGCGCCCAGGTAAGACGTTAACTTATGCTTGAGACCTCGCTCCTGAAATGACATCCGACCCGGCCCTTCGACTTCGACGAGTTGCTGCTCGAGCCGGGCAGTCTTCAAAGTCCATAGAACCGCGTGAAAATCCAACTGGTCGAGCGACGTGCCAGAAAGCATGCAGAGAGACCTCGAAGTTCAGGAAACGAGCCCGCTGAATAAAAACCAGCGAGCCAAGACGGGTGGCCCGAAGTGCTGCGAGAGCCCAGCGAACCTTCTCCTCCGCGGAAAGGGCCCCCCACAGCGGGCATAGTCAACGACTTTCTCGGCGGCGGCCTTGGCGATGTTTCTCGTCTCTCCAAGAGCGATGTGGGGGTCTGAATCTTCGGGCTCAACCTCCCCCATAACCTCCTCCATGGAAAGCGGAAAGAATACTTTGCGCGCTCGGGCGCCCGAGACGGGGCCCGAAATCCCCCTGGGACGGGCGCGGTGAAGAAGCAACGCGACAGGGGCATGATCCGGGAGAGGCCAGTTCCCGACGGTTGCCCAACATATGACACTGTTGGGCTTGCAATATACCTATGCGGCGCTGGGAATATTCGAGCAGAGTCGGTCGAGCCTGCCAAGCGATGCCACGCTGGCCTCTCGCCGCTGGCGCCCGCGGCGCGGCGGGCGCAGTGATTCTGCTCGACTTCGCAAAAATCTGAGAAGAGGGCGTCGAGATAACTAGCGCGACTACAACTCCCGCGCCTCGCATTCCAGTCTGCGCGATGGGACCCCCCCCCCTCTCGGCGCGGAAATTAATGTCGCCCGCGGGGGGGGGGGGGGGGGGGGCGCGCAGATATTGGCCCGACGCGTGCTTGCGTGTCAGTCTCAACTCGCCTTTCTGTTGCACGATGGTCTTGATAAGCTAAACATGGATATTGTATTCCTGAGATCTGCCGCCAACTCATCGCACGGTGACATAGCGACTGCGGCCAGGAACAAGGGCGCGATGAGTGAGTAAGAGAGAGACAGAGAGAGAGTGACATATACACATATATATATATATACATATATATGTGTATATATATATATATACATAGATGGACAGAGAGAGAAGAGGCGAACAGAGAGAGAGAGAGAGATAAAAAAAAATCAAAAAGAAAGAGAGAGAGAGAGAGAGAGAGAGAGAGAGAGAGAATGAGA